GAGAGTGGCGTATATCGAGGGTTGACTGTACAGGAATTACCCATCAGCACGGGAGGAGTGGACATCTATGAACTGCGGCACAAACAAAAGGGGGAATCGAGGGGTTTCATTTTCTTTCTTGAGACTTCGTTCCTCTATACTACCCCTCCCCCCTCCCTTCTCTTTGAGAATGTTTCCACAACATTTGCCCCCCCCCGCCAAGAGGGGCTGGAAAGTGATGGGCTCCAGAAAATGCTTTACCTAGAACCCCTAAAATCGATAATTCGACCCTGCCTCGCCAATGCGGAATCTATATAAGTCTGAAAGTTCATTCAAGTCAAACGAATCGTGTCCACTGGCCAGAAAAATCTCTGATGGTTTCAATTCATTTTCGTGGGTTCATGCGGAGAATGCAAGATTGAAAATGTGAAAATCGGCTCCTTGGAAATTGCGACGAAGCATTCTCCACCATTGTGGATTGGGAGGACTAGAGACGGGCTATCATTCATCATTCTCCCCCTTCTCCTTCTCTTCATTGAAAATTCGGTTGAAAACCACTTATTTTCCGTATGTTAAAACCGAGCTGTATTTACTCTGCACTGTAACCCACTAGCTTCAAGTGAAACAGCAAATAGACATCATAAGGCAGTGAATTGAAATGAAAAGCACTTCAACTCACCTCCATCGCCCATCTGAACCCCTTAACTGTGCTATTTCCGCCGTCCGCAGTACAATTCAGCACGGATTTAGGTGAAATATTACGCCCTACACAATTAAGGGGTTAAAGACCTACATCACAGCTCGTTTAATATTCTCTGCCGATTGTGGGCACTGATTTCGGACTCGCACATGAAATCGAACAAACATTGCTAAGGGTTCTTCTCTATCCCAACATTTTAGATTGCATTTACAATCTAAAATCTGGGTCAGACCAGTCCAGAAGTACAGTGCGCGTCAAAATTAACGTACCTGGGTTTTCTTTTATTCAACGAGAGAAATCAGAGAACCTTTTATTTCATCAGGAAGCACTTATCGAGCCCTGATCTCAATACTGGGTAAAATTGCCTTTCGCTTTTACTACAGCACGTAATCGGCCTGGAATGGAGTCCACCAATTTTTTTGCTAACTCTTCGCTCCGACTCCTCCACACCTCCTTGATTACTGCTCGTAAACTACGGATTGTTCTGGGTTGCCGATACGCTACTTTGGCCTTCAAGAGTGCCCACACATTTTATTGGGGTGGAGGTCGAAAGACTGCGATGGACATTCCAAACGGGACACCCCATTCTCGACCCTCCGGTTTGTCTGCTGTTTTGAGGTTTGCTTCGTATCATTGTCCTCCTGCAGCACCCAGGACTTCCTTGAATCAGGAAACATGGTAGATGCATAAGGCAAGAGGCCACGCTCATAAATAGTATTCAACAGATGGGCATCCAAATTCTGGGTGAGGGTGGAGATCTTCCCAACCCTCCAGCAGAGAAGCAGCGCCAAACACGCATCTTACCTGGGTTTTTGACATCACGCTTTTCCCTCCACCATTCCCGTCTCTCGATGTCTTTTAAGCCAACCGGCCTTCGCTAGCTTTGAGATTCTTTTATACTTCGCGATGGCGGCAGAAGAGAGCTTCGGACCCATGGGACGAACGGCAAGAAATCAATCTCGTAGTGATCCTTCACTGAAAGTGGCATTTTTCCTCGAGCCGAAATAAACAACTGCGTAACTGGGATGCAACAAACTAGAGTCCTTCCCTTTTTTTTTTAGGTGGATCAGTAATCACGGGCAGCTGTCCTATGCAAAACCTTTGAGCCGCATAGGTTCCATATTTTTCTAATAAAACCCAGGTATGTTAATTTTGACGACCACTGTATTCCCATTTTTAAACGAAGTTATAGCGCGAGCCTGGGCGAGGAACAAACTTTTTCCTTTTAGATTGTTTTTACATTAGATTGAGGTTAGATTAGATTAAGTTCAGCATATACGAGAAATAGACCATGGCTGCTTATTGCATCTGTTCGGGTCAAGTTTAGATTTCGACGAAGTTTAGCAGAGACAAGGAACAGACCCCAGGAATTAGAGCGTAGGGCATTGAGGCAGTGAGAAAACCGGTGAACAGGTTTACTGCTCTCCATAACTTGTGAAATCTAGTCTGGACTGAAATCCGGGCGAAAGAATGAAACTTACATGGAATGGCCATGGTGGAGTCATTGGGATCCGGACTATATTCCTCTTTGGGGAAGTAGTCGATGTTCATGCAAGAATATTCCTCTCCTCCGGCTGTACGATAAAAAAAAAAACACACGTTGCATTGCCATGAAGAAGCGTGTCTACTATTGCCGGTACAAAATCAATTAGTAGCGTTAACTTCGATCCTGTAAGGACGTCTGCCCATACCTCTTGCACCGTATACTGTTACTTTCAATTAGTTGCTCCATCCATCTCCATGGCTTCGTATTAATCCTTTTACTTCTGTTTTACTTTTTAATTTTGTTAGCAAAGTAGATGAAGTAGAGAATGCAACCAAATCAGATTTGATCGAAAGATGTACAGTAATAACATTATTTTTCAACCTATGAGGACAGAAATGGCTTCCACGCGTTCCTTTGTTTTATGAGACGCAAAGTAGAAACTTGGAAAATATCTCACTGCACCTTCTAACCATGAATGTGAAAGACAAAGCCAATGTGAGGCCATCTTGGAGGTTTCAACCATTTTGTCAACCGACATCAATATCGGGCATCTCCGTGTAAAACCAGATAAAGGTTCACTCCTGACGATGGAGAATACCTTGGACAGATACGCATGCCACCAAACCTATATGCCATCGTAGATTTTTTTTCCGTTGCTAAGGAATGAAAAGGTTGGTGACTGATGACTTGAAATGAGAGCTTTTTGCGGTCGCTGACTGTTATATAAGAGAGTAGCATTTATTTTCATTAATTTCGTTCCCGAGTGAGTGGCTTCTAGCCAGGCCCCATCCGAAGGAGCAATTTTTCCTGTGCTTCTGTAAGGCCTTGGAGGGTCCATATACTGAAAAACGCAATTACTGGCAGATGAAGAAAGAAATCGCTAGAAATTCACGATGAGGCATACTTAATCGCGGGCAAATTTCCCACGAAGAGAGAAAAATGATGTACTTCTTAGTGGAAAATTGGAATACCATAGCCAAGGTTTTCGGTTAAGACCACACCTTTGTCCTTCGTGGCAGGAGTGAATCATAATGGTGTGGATATTTGGGTCACAGGGACGAGAAAAGGACGGAGAGACAGTAACACAGTCTGTAAAAGTGCCGCAATGCCAGGCATCCAAAGTCGAAGATGAATAGAAAAGAGAGAAGGAAGGAGGAATTTACTGTCTTCACCCCTTCCCTTGCCTCTGCAGTGGTGAAATGAAATCTGTTAACGAGGCGCCTTTTCATCGATGGACGTCAGACGAAAATAGGAATATAAATTTTTGCCGAAAATAGAAACCTTGGAAATGGTTTTCCCCACTTCTACGCGTTGCATTGAAAGCAACCTATTTGTGCCATCTCACGTTCAGTGTAGCAGAGCTTCCAGAGTCCGGAGACGGTGAACTTGGAGAGGTACTCCTGGGGTCCACCAGGGGTGCCATTGTAGGCGTGATTCTCCATCTTCTCCTCGGAATGAAGCCATTGATGGGTGGAGAGAGCCACGGCGACACTGGTGATGCTCAGGGTGGCCGTGAACGGCGTGACGAGCCATAGAGCACGAAGTGCACATTCCAGTTTCCCCTTCTTCATCCTCTTCCTCCACCTTCATACGGCCCTTTGGCCTCTTGCCCTTGATCCCCTGCAACGAGCATCATGGCAGAACTCACTTCGGCTTCATGCCCGTCGAGATCAACGTGACTTTCGGAATATCTTTCTGCAGCCGGGTTACCAGAACGGAACGAATTTAAAATACACGATGGATGCATTTTCCTTCCCGCAAGCCACATAGATTCTATTTGAGTGACGATGCTCTCCGTGTGAGAAGCCTTCCTGTCATAAAGCATGCTGGAGCAGACCGACTGCTCCGAAAGAGCTTAACATTATTAAGTCTTTTGGGGAAAACATGTCGTAAAGGAATTAGCGGGGAAGAAAAAAGTCCAGTATGACGATATGAACAACAGACTCTAGAGGAGGTGAGGATAACTCACGTGAGAAGAGTTGAAGATGGGTCTCGGATGGGATCGGGGGAGTGGAAGAGAGGGAGAAGGCGAGGCCGATCATTACGGGAGGAAGTGAGTCCTGCGCACGAGCACATTACGACATCTACCGGGTCAAATATGCACGAGAGACCAGGAAACCCATTTCCATATAACCGAATCTCTCTCTCTCTCTCTATTTCCTCCCCTCTATTCTCTTTCTTTATATGCTAACGAGATGGTGGAAATGGGATTTCTTGTCGATTTTCTCGGCCTACCACCCCCGGCGCCTCCTCGCCCCTTCGCGAAGATGGAGATTACCTCTTTGTTTCCCGTTCCACCTTCGAATTGCGCGAACGCAATCGGATCCTCTAAACCAGGGGTGTCAAACTCAAATCGGTCGGCGGGCCGCATTCCTTACCCTGCAGATGCCTGCGGGCCGCACCCATAAAATTTCACTTAAATTTGTGCTGACACTCAATCCATGGGGAAAATTTCAGAAGCAGACGGCGGGCCGGATGAACCACCTCTTCGGGCCGGATCCGGCCCGCGGGCCGTATGTTTGACACCCCTGATCTACATCAATCACCTTTTACCAAAGGAATTCTTAATGTGGCTGAGACTATGGGTGAAAGGTCCTAAATGATCTAAAAGAAACTAGTCCCACCTCTAACCTGAATAGTTTCAATTATGATGAAAGATGAGAAAAAAATTTTTTTTTGGTAAGTTACACCAAGGGAATTTCTCTAAACAACAAACAATTTCATTAAAATGGCTCTAACTCCAATGAAACTGTTAATCAGTCTAAGGCCTCCAAATTGTGAAAAAATCATCCAGAAAGGGTGTTAAGGCAAATATGGAAGATCAAGTATCAGCACTCACCAGGTTTTCAGGTGGAGATCATAGGCATAAGCCCTTCCATTTGACAGGGATACCACTGGTGAGTGTTGTTGATCAATAGATATGGCATGAACACAGATGCCTCTGCCTGTAATGGAAGTGCACGAACATTTTAGAGCCAATTACTTAAACAGAGATGGGGATCATATATCGTCTCAGTTCCTGAAGGACGTATAGTCTTCTTCTCTATACCTACAGCAGCAAAACCCAAATTGTAGTATGTATACCACTGGATGCTGGAAGGTTCAATGGCGAGTAGGAGGTTTGGGAACCACAGATCTAAAGCATGAACCCAGATTATGAGTGAAACTCCCTCTCCTTTCAAGAAGCTAATCATTCAGGTCAAACAGTCAAAGCCATAGTGTCACTCTTCTAGATCTCTGCAATCTTTGCATGGCAATAAATGTTTAAAAAGCATGTTGGTCTAGTTAGACTGCCCTCTTTGAAAGCAACTTGAAAAAGATCAGGGCACTATTGCAGAAGTCAAAGTCCATCTAACGTATACAAGGGCCATATGGACAATGATTTTCAATCATGGCATTCCTGCACCGGGCAAAGGTTCAGGTTTTAATCAAACCCCTATAAAAGCAAATGGAATAGCTCTGGGCATTTAGAAGGTTAGACTCAAGATGCAAGATTGCCCTATTCTGAGTTACCCAACTGTATGTACCTTTTGCAGGAAAAAACAAAGTCATTTGCACTGTCCACCAATATGGTGTAATGAAATACACTTTACAGTATACACAAAAATGCATTCCCACCTGGAAAGTCATTCACCAATTGGATAGTACAGCAGTTTCCAAACTTCTATAGACTGGGCAACCCCCTCATATATGGAAAATCCCACAGTTTTTTCCAACCCTTTAGGACTCTTGCTAACCATGCTACTTAACATATTGAAAGAAAACATATCTGAATACAGCTGCCATTCTTTCAAACCAAGGAAACGAGTCCATAATGCTTCCAGACAATACCACTACACTGGAGACAGCAAAATGAAAATACAATCTATCAGTTGAAGCAAAGAACTCTTTTGCTTACCTCTGATGAGGTGGGTAATAGCCTCTGAATGGATGACTGGTGTGCAGGTGTCAAAATCCCACATATGAACAACACCTGGCGTTGTGATGACAAGAAGTAGCCATCCTGATGAGGTCATCTTTGATGCAGGTCCCAAAATGGCCAGTGGAGGGCACAGTCGAGATCCATGGGAGGAAAAGACATGCAATGACCCATTCTCACATGACACTGCACACATCTGAAAGAAGACATTTATTAAAATGAAAATGTAATACGGAGTCAGTGGAATTAGAAATAATTAGAGAGAAAAATTAAATTAAAATGATTTAAAACAAATGCTAAAATTTTTTTTTTTTAAAGCATGCTGCGGTAAAACCTCAAAATTGCCATACAGACAATACCAAGTGATTCCCCTTTAAGCATTAATCACAAAGTGTAACAATGCTTGAGTACAAGGACTTACTTTTCACACAAGTGTGATAAAAGTCCTTAGACATGAAAGCTCATTGGCTCAAACACTTGTATAAGAGTTGCGATCTGCTTACTATTAACACGAGCATCCAGACTCAATTATGATAGAAATTGTGCACTTATTTCAGCAGTTCAGTCAAATGCTGACTCCTGCCACTGGCACATTGATGAAGTGTCTTCCGATAATTCTTGGCCTCAATAACTAGCTACAGCTCAACCTCCTGCTTCATAGTAACATGATATTCCTCATACTTCACTTGATTACCCATGCACATAAAAATGTAATCCCATTTCTGCCCTTCCATTTGATCAATTGCTTAATATTTTCTCTAAATCAGATTGGCCACCTCAATATTCATTTTCTTGAACTTCTTAAAAATGCAAGCCTCCATGAACCATACAGAATCACATAGAACTGTCTTAAGTACCTCCCACTGCTCCTCTATGAGACCATTCACCCCTCATTATTTCCTAATTGAAATCCATAACATATTCATGCTAAATGCATGTTTTCATCATTCTTGACTATTTTTGGACATTTATTTTTACTTTATAAGAATTTGCCTGCTACCGATGAACAAAAATCCACATAGAAGTACAAACTTCAGCTGTAGCAGAGAGGAGGAGGATGGGGGAGTCAAAGAGGACTTCCCAGGATGTAGATGGTGATGGAGACAAATCACCGAACCGGACACCTCGCAGTTTGTGAAGTGATCTATCACCTGATGAATACACCCAATTCTCCACTTCTGCCCTCCATTCCTTAGGCACCTTTGGAAGAATAGGAAATAATTGCACAGCAGAATGCTGGCCTCCATCATTCATACGGAAAAATTTTTGGGAAACTTCCGGCTAGGTAATTTAGAAAAGACTGACAGACAAGAAATACCTTTTAAGCTGTAACATGCACATGGTTGCATCTGACACCTTCATTGGTGACATTTTGGTTAATGGATGAATGGTCCATGCCGCAAACGATGCTACATATGATTAAGGAGGGCAATCAATTAAAGAGATGTTGAATTAGTTTCTCTAGTGATGCGCAAACTTTTGACTTGAGGATGACTAGCATTTGCTACAGAAGAACTCATGACTAACAATCCAATCCTTAGAGAATCAACCTATGGTTCTCTTTCTCTTGACTCTTTGGCTATTCAATTTCTCAAAACAACTGAATTAAATTGAATGTGAAAAAAAGCTCATGAAGCTTCTCAGAAAAATAAAGAGTTTGTTGAAGAATGAAACACCCGCTAATAAGAAACTTACAGATGTGACCAAAGTCTTCTGAGCCTTTGGCAAAGGCAAGACATCGATAGATGTGAGACTGGAGCGAGTGAGTGATAGTTTTTGGATGGAGGTGGCAGCAATAGTAGGAAGGCTGGATTGAGGTGCTGTAGAGGGTGAAGCAGGACGTGGGCAAGCAACCTCGGGTGCAGGAGGGGATTTTGGTGGCCGCTCGCTCTCTCGCTCTTTCTCAGCTGCAGGTGGACGCCCTCTCTTGGTTGGGGCCTTGGTGATGGACACAACTTCAGATGATAGGGGAGGGGGAGATGGAGCAACTGGAGCCTTGATTGATATCACTCCTCTCTCACCATCCTCAACTCCTCCACTCCTGCCATAGAAGATGCACCACAAGATTAATGCCAGGATTGAAATGTCCCACCTTTACACAAGGTGGTGAGAATGTTACCAAAAGAAACATTTCTGGAGGCTTTCTAGAAAAGCTACAAATTTTAAACTTCGTAGGATTCCAGTAAAAATGTGGAATTTTTTGAGTCACTTGTTTTTTTAAATGGAAACTGCATACTAACAGAAAATTAATATTATTCCTTTTTTTGTGTAGATCCTGGTCTAGTTCCTCCGAAGAACTCTGTTGATTCCGCACTACTTTCTTTCATCTGCCAGTGATTAATGGCTGAGCACTTCCTGATTTAGAAGAAGCCCCATCTAGAAGAAATAAAAGTTGTTTCATGAATGGGTGTGCATCAGAGCAAAGACTTCAGGACACGTTTTCAGTCTTGCTGGAGTTTAATTATTCATATCAGAAGGCTCTATGAAAAATTTATTGGAACAAAAAGTGTGCCAGATTGCCCTTGTTCTGGACAGCCTCAAGTACTTTTCCAGCATAAGTACACATGGATTTTTACATTTGGTATCATTTGCAGCATATCTGAAGAGCATTCAAGCATACTGAAGAGTGTTTGAGAAAAAATTGCCATCTAGCACACTTCCTGCTCCATAGAACTCCTAAAGGAATCTTCTGACAGTCAATTTTGCTAGAGGTTCCCAATTGAAATGTGTGGTAGAAGTCATCACACTTAAGTGAAGCATTCATGCATTTCCACCAATGAAACAATTTTATTTCTTTTGGTTTACAGTATGGGTCAAAAGTATTGCAACACTGGAACAATTCATATTATTCTCCTCCAAAGAGATGAAACTAATTCATTTACCAATGTAATTTCCTTTCATATGGATAATCAACTGCATTTGCTGCGGCATACTGCTTACTACATTTTTGAGAATGCCTGGAAAAAGAGCATGACAGAGAAAGAAGACAATGGGAAGAAGGCCTGAATGTTTTTTCTACTACACAGCATATTTTTTATTAGCAAAAAGGAGCAGTTTGGGATTAAGAAAGGGGAAATTACCCAGAATCCTGAGCTCCCATTCAGGCAGCACAACTAGTGATCATCCCTTTGTCTCTTTAAATCTCACTCTTTCAGGCCATTGCTTTCTCCAGGATTTTTCATAATTTCTTTTTTTTTTAATACAGGACAATGGATGCATTTTACATGACACAGAGAGGAAGGGGGTGCCCACTTGGCACAAGCACCACATCCGTATCACAATCCCTTGGCTGGGACACCCCTTTATAGGAGGCCTTAGGGGAAGCTCATGGGTTGCCTACGCCCATGACTGGCACGAGTGGTTTTTAAGGTGTACTGCACCCGCATCTCCCAGACGTGGCACACAGGGTGGTGTGTGTGTTATCCCACGCAAACCAGATACCCCCCATGAAAGCAGGTGGGTTACCGGTCATCGGAGAAAGAGCCCACTGTCACACGGATGTGATCCCTCACCTCCCAGGTTTCACTCAGAAGCCAGAACCACTCAGCCACCGAACCCCAGTAGGATTTTTCATAATAGATGGCAAAATCAATCAATATGTTCAACTTGAACTTAGATCAGAAAAATTATTTTTAAAGTGGCAGTTTATAGGTAGCAGCCACTTTGCTAAACAGAACAACTGCTTATTCAGCTGTTTCATACCATGCCATTCCTTTCCATACTGCATTACGGCTGCAGCCATAAGAGGAATTAAACAGGGCACATGGAGTGCATGAGATTGAAACAAAAAAGGACCAAACAGCTTCAGTCTTCATTACTCTGTGAGTGAAAATTTCATGGACTCCACCAAAAGGGTTTTATTTATTTTTTTCAGATACTTGGTGCTCAAAATGGCTCCCCATTAGAGCAAATTGCAACTTCAACTGATTCAACTTCAAGCACTTGAATTGCCAATATCTCTCATCCTTGGTTTGGATACTGGAGAATACTGTGGAATGGCCAGTTCAACCACCTGATTTGGCCAGTCTTGTCTCAGGGAATGTTCTATAGCATTCCAGTGGGAAAGTCACGAGATTCAGATTTTTTTTTGCTCGAGATTCTAAAAGGCCTCTTGGTGGTGTAAGAAAGAACTTAATCACAGAAGTATCTGTAAGTAACCCACAGAAGTCTTATGGAATAGAGTCCAGTCCAATGCTTAGGCAAAGTGAGATAGGCCTATCCAATGCTGTAACAATTTTAATTATGATAAGTTTGCTTTGAAAGATACCTGATGTGAAACTGATTATGGCATACTGCCTAGATTCCTTGACAGTTTCATCCACAATCTGAAGTTCTTCAAAAATTTCCCTTATAACATTTAATGACCAGAAATAAAAAACAAGAAAGAATGGAGGGGGACTTCAATCTATTCTCCTCTTATGAGAATAGAATTGCACATTTCTGTTAGCACATCAGTTATTCTAAAAATGGAAAAGTCTAAGATCTGAATACACAAACCTTATTTAGGGGAGATAAAGAGGCCTTTAAGCAAAAAAGTTATATTATCCCCATAGGAATCCATGCTTTCTTAAAGGAGCATTACTTGAAGGAGATTTCAGCCTTCAGGCCTAATTTTTTTAATGGAGCTCATTTCAAATTGAATCCGAACATTCAATACAGAAATGAGTGAAAATAATGTCTTGTGTCCATAGGATGACAATTTTTACAAGGCAAAAATCACCACTGTCATTCATTTCTATTGATGTATGAATAAAACCATATACTTAGAGCAATCATACCATTACACATATCTCCCCAATAATTACTAGGCTCCAACTAAGAACATCATAATTAAATGATGAAACATCGCATTATCTTTCATATAAAAAAACCATTACAGCATATTTATGGAATTTTTATGCAAAACATTAATGACTAAAACAAATTAAATATTTTATTTGGTTTGTGTAACTTCTCAAACAAATATACTTTTTCTTGAATTCTCCTTCCCAAAAACCTTTCCTGGTATGAATAATCATCATCATGTCAAACTCCTTTAGCTTCATCCTCAACTAAAGGCCTCCATAACTTCACTTTTTCAGCTGAGAGTCAAGCACACACACAGTGAGTTCTGAGGTCATTGGTCATACTCCTCATAATGTTTTCCTTTGTGCAGGTTTTTTAAATTTAAATGCTGGTTTCCACGTTGACATACTATCAGTGTCCATCAGTATCAAAGGAGATATAAATAGAACTTTCAATAGATTTTTCATGAATCAGGATTATTACATTATAGTCCACTTACTACCATTATGGTTTCTCTTCATGCCATGCATCCAGGTACTCACAAAGAATACATAGTACCAATAAGGCATGTCACACAAGAGGGATGTGGGTGCCTGGGTGCAAGAAAAGACTTACGTTTTGGATGGGGAATCCATCGAATTCTCACCCCTCTTCTCTATTACTATCTTACTCTTCTGAGCATCAGATGAACTCTGCAAGCCAGCCTTCCCAAAAGTCTGCATTTTCTCACTAGCAGAAAGATCAAAGCACATCACCACAAATGGCAAATGGAATTAAATCAGAAAGCAAGATTAATCATATATATGTATTCCATGATAGAAAAGCAATGATTCTACATTTGAATTAAGAATTCTGCCATGTTGGATTGAAAGAGTCTTGTCACATGAATTCTAAGCCGATGGCAAGCACTAACTATTGTTTCATAGAAGAAAAATACTCAATTCAGCTGTCAAATATGAGATAAGAATTGGCCAACTAGAATTGCTATTTTAAAAATATGCTGATAGCCAAAAATTTTCAAGAAAACTTATTTGGGCTCTTCATTTATCTCAAAGTTGTGGAAATGAAACAATATATGTATTATGAGAGAATGTAAGAATTCTGAACAAAGACTGCAAGTATTTTTTCCTTTATCTGACATTATCTTTGTGCTAAGAAAGATAAGAGCCCATATCAACCTTGTCCAGGCAATGCAAGGAAGAAAAGAAAAACATATCCTTATCATGGAATAAGGAAAGGCCAAGATGGGAAACTCACCATCAAACTGATGGTGACTAGAAAAGCTTCACCCACAGCTAGCTGGGGTTCATTTACCAAATGATTCAAAGCCAGTAAGTAGACCATTCAACACAATTCTATATTCTCCCAGTTCAGGAATAACACCTGCATTGTTTCCGAAGTGCACAAGGAAGATTTCCTGGTAGTAACATTGCTACTTGCAAGTAGTAAGGTGCAAGAGCTGTATGGGGATTCCTTTGGCATCATATCATTCTCATTAAGAAAACTGATAGAGAGACTGGTAGGTAAACAAACCTATTTTCAATTGTGAGAGGGATGAATATAGGTGTGATGCGCCTTTTCCCATCAGCAGTGACAGTCTCAATCTGTCTATCAGTAGGTCCTCTGATGATGGTTGCAGTGGACGAAGAAGAGTTCTTGTCTGGATCTGGATGCCACCTTTTTGCCTCTTTCTCCTTTTGTCTTGCTTCATCCTCCTTGTCTTTTGCTTCTAACAGTCCCGGATGCTCAATTATGTTCACTGCTGCCTTCCCACCGTTCATCCGCCGACCATATCTCTTTTCTAAGACTTGGCTCTTCAAAAGAAAAAAGGTTTAGGTTATGATGGTGGTCAACAGCAGGAATACATTAAAAATGCTGTAAAAATTTGGCATTTGGATTATGGTATTCAGTCACATGGCTTTCCAGTACTACAGTGGTACTACTACTACAGAGTGCTATGCTGAATTTGGCCAAATAGGGCCAAACTTGCTTCTTCCTTTCTTATATAGAAATATTTTACTTGTTCTCAATATCCTCAATATCTTCAGAAAGCATTCATAATTAAAACAACAAAAACAGCAAATTTGCATCTGCTTATTCTCAGAAAGCAGTTCTGAGACCATTTCATAAAAACAGGATCATCAAGACATACTGACACACAGTTCAAGGCTCTGATAAAAACTTAAAATCTCATTTTAACCATTTTGACCTATGGCTATGACTGATTACTCAGCTGAAGTTAGGATTGGTGTAGGTCTTAGCAGGCAGCATTATAAAGGCTGGAAGAAAGGTGAAGAAAAATTTAAGCAAAAAATATTAAGCTGAACTATGAATAATTCCAAAGAATTCCATACTAAAGTACATCATACAGGTTTCATGAAAAATCCATAGAAGTAGCAACATAAGGTGCTGAAAATGAATTTTTAACTGAAAGAACATATATACTGCATGAATGTACCACTTAAAATCAAAAGCTTCCCTGAAAAAGAGCTACCAAATTAAAAGATTAGTCATAGGCTTTATTCATTGGAAACTCACACATTCATCTATGGAAAGAGGTTTCCCAATTTCGTTCTGGAGGAGTTCCATGCAGGCAACTGTTCCATCCCAACTGCAAGCCATCACCTGAAGTCCATCATTGCTCCAACTAATGTCCAGCACCTATCCAGAAAGTAGCAAAGGTGCAGGGAATCAATGAGAAAACATGATCTTGCCATGTTTTTTTTTTAATGATGTGATAACAATTTTATCATGACACTACCCTTCCCATACAAATTCCCATATTTATGCCTGAATCTAGGTTAATTGTAAGAAGCGAATTTTTTTTTAGCACAATTTTTGGAAGAACCAGCTTTTTCTAATGGCAAATTCATATACTTGCCAGCGTGTCTCTTTTCTCACAAACCTCATTTGCAGGTTTGCATGGGTTTTCCTAACCTGGTCTAGACGAACTGAATTCTATTAACATGTTGGCGACAATGCATCCTGATGCCAGGATGCAGATTTTTTTTCTGGTTGAGTTATATCAAAGTCATTATGGATTCAGATTGCAGTTCTTGTTGAAACCTCTA